ATGGCGAATGATTTGCAGATACTGAGCACCACTGACAAATATCTAATCTTGTAAAATGTGTGGTAGGTACTGCCGCTCCGTAGTATAGAGTCCATGTGATCGCGAATCTCGAAAGTGAAAGTGCGCACATTGTGGGGGCTGGGAGGGGAGGATCACGATGCCGGCTCAGCATCGTGATATCTGTCAGCCATAGCATTCTGTCAGCCATAATATTCAAGCTGTTTATTAATTTTTCTGCCCCTGAGCGAAAAAAGAAAATTTAAGCTGAATTCTAGTTTTTCAATTTTGGGAAAAAAAAACAAAAAAACGAAAAAGGAGCCGTTTTCTCATTTTTCTACTTTCAATATTAAATCAAAAAACAAATGATCGAATGATACACGGATTGATGAGCATGGTTTTGTTTGTTTTTGTATCTGTGATTGGTTAGCCCACCTTGCCCTCTCTCTTCCTCTTTAAGGGGCTGTTTACACCTGGTCACTTCATGCGTTTTGTCTGATCGGATAGCTATCTGATCATGAAAAGGCCAGGTGTAAATGCCCTCCAAAATGCATTCGAGACGGATATAAATCCGATCGCTCAAACCACTTCAGGAGGTGGTCTAGGCCGCATTCCAGATGAAACTGGACTAGTGTAAATGCATCTGGTTGTTGAAACCACATATGTAAATTTTACTCCTCCCAAAATGTTAAAATAATAAACGTGTGAGAGCATGTTATAGGCTGTATGACATTATATTCAGATATGACTGCGCTAATGCAACACGCATCGCAGTGGACGAGTAGCTGAGCATCTCTTCAGCAAGCCAATGTGCAAACTGCTGCGAATGAAACTAAGTAATACGCAGACGGTCAACACACATTAATCTTCATTAAAAGTAGTAAGACAAACTTATCTTTCCAGTGCTGATGCCGCGTGCTCTCCTATTGCGATCTTTGATCTTGAAATGAGCTGATAATTAATAAAATGCAGCGCTTATCTTTTGATTTCGTTGACGTGAACTCCGCTGAATTTAAATATAGCGCGGGAATTGAAGATCGGATTTATATCCGTTTTGCGACTACACATTTATGTGGCCAAGTGTAAATGGAAACGTTTTAACAAATCAGATAGATATCCGATCAGCGAAAATGCATGAAATGACCAGGTGTAAACAGGCCCTTAAACACACTGTAGCTTCCAAATCTCCACCTTCCTCGCATGTTTATCATGCCAGATTGGCTCCCAACTGCTCAAACACAGAGTTAGTAGTACAAGGACAGAGCACATGATTCCTGACTCTACTCCTACACTATGCAGCAATCCAACACGTTTACAGTGACAGGTTATTTGTCTCTCCACACTAAATGCAAAATAATTTGTGATGTCACACAATTACAGTCTAATTATACAGGGCTAAGACCAACTGCTCAACTAGTTGTTCAGACAACATGCTGACTAGTCTTACATGGTAATATGTAGTTGTGCACATCCCTCACAGATACAGTAAAAAGTGATAGAAAATTCCTTTGGCGAGACAAAGAAGGGGATTGGCGAACCCAGGCTCATGAAAAATATTTGCGTAAGGCAACATTTTTGACAAATTGATATTACGTTGCTTCTTGCAGGTTTCACAGAAGTTTCAAAGTGAAATGTCAAAGAATGGCACTAAAAGGTTAATGCTTATTCGCATTTGAAAATAGCATACCCCTACAGTACTGTACCAGGTGAGCTACCAAGCAAGCTTACTACATTAGAAAAGATGTATACTCTATATGGGGCTGTATATATGAAGCAAAAATGTATTTGTTTACAAAATCAGATGTTTTGAGGTTATAACATAGTGTTGAGTCTTCATTAGTGAGTCGTTAATTGATAATCTGCCCCTGTAATAATTTGTGTGAAAAGGAACATAAGTTGTTGGTGTTTTACTGCTACTAGTGTTCACTTAAGTGTTCACTTAAGTTGGAATTGTATAAATATGTTTTTGGAGTTTTCCAAAAATGTAAGTATAGGCACATTTTTCCAGTGAGATTGGGTGAGTCAAGATTGAACTTGCTTTATCTGCCACATTTCTGAAAAGCCGATATTCAGAACGGCCTTTTTTTTCTTCTTTTAAATGAGGGGAAATATATTTTACACCCTGGAAATAGATTTTAGTTCATCTTCATCAGGGAGTTTAAATGATGTTGTTGTTTTTTTCTAACTATTTAAAAATGTGCTCTTTATTTAGGTCAGATACTTAAATAGATTGCTTAGATTAGATTAGATGAATTATTGTGTTATGAAATTAAATGTACAGCAAATACATAAGAAAATTTACATGATGCAGAAGTTATCATAATACAGTAAATAAGGGCAAACTACTGTCTTTTGAGGTCCAGATTATTAAAATGTAATTTCATGCTACAGCAAACATTTTCAGAGTTATTTAGACCGGAATATAGTTAATATTATGAATATTAAAGACAAAATACCCTTAAAGTTAGCATGAAATGAAAATTAACTTCATCAATTTTCTAAATGCATCTTATTGATCTCATTGTTAATTATTTATTTATTTATTATATAACCTCATAACTTTTGTAATCAAAATGTAAACTTTTCTTGTGAAAATGGCATACTTCTCTTTGGTAATGTATTGCAGGACTTCTCCAGTCAGTCTGCTTAGACCTGGTCTCTTTCTTATATTTGACTGCAGTCTCACATTTATCTCTGCCTCCATTCATATCAACAACTTACTGATTGAACCAAGTCCCTGTCCCACATTTTGTGTTCTTTTTCAATAATCCCTTTCACTCGGATGTACAGGTGCATCTCAATAAATTAGAATGTCGTGGAAAAGTTCATTTATTTCAGTAATTCAACTCAAATTGTGAAACTCGTGTATTAAATAAATTCAATGCACACAGACTGAAGTAGTTTAAGTCTTTGGTTCTTTTAATTGTGAACAATATGGAAAAAAAATCTGTTGCTACTTACGTTACATGGCAGAAATCAATGGAAATTCAATCAATGGTTACTTATAGAGCACATATCCACAAAATGATTAAAAGTCCTAAATATCAACAACATCAAAAAAAAAAAAGGAAATATATAAACACTTGTAGGGGAGGACTGTGTCTTTGTTATTACATTCATATGTGAGAAGCTTGTGCGTGCAAACTCTCTACAGCAATAGCAAATTGAATTAACTCTGGAGGTGTGTTGAAGTCGTCAAACCTTGCAGCAAAGTTTCATCATATCTCTTCTAATGTGTTGTCAAGTTGTTTATGAAGTCTTGCATTGTTGGAAAGTGTTGCATTTTTACAGTGGTTCCAAAAGTTTAAAAAAATTAGCACATCTTAAGTTTAAATCCATCAAGTGTTGCAACAATATCACAGACCATTTTATCTCATCACTGCAATCCCAGATTAAGGCCGTTCAAGTGATGGAAGCTGTCACTCAGAAAACACACTTTTGCCATGAAATTTTCATCTCGCATTCAAGACAGAAATGTGACCGCTCTCCAGTGATGGTAGCCACAGAGAAAAGAAACATTCTTCTGTCTGAGTCCACAAAAATGTTTTCCATTCCTCTTGCCATTTATCATTGTGATGTAGGAGTAAATCACTGGGCTTGGCTGACACATCTCATAGGAGCCTGTGAAACGTGGTGCTTTCATGAAAATAAGTTGTTAATGTTGATGTGCTATCCAAAATGAAGACATAAAGACTCAGCTTTCTTATTGCTGGATTCATTCACAGGCATTGTCTCCACCTTCTTTTATTTGTCTAAGAATGCCAGTATTTTACTCCTTGTCATTGTGTCAGACATCAGTATTTTTAATAGATTATGTTGTTTCTGTCTTTATTACAATCTCCTCTATAGTGTTAGCATGTAATCTTTCACAGTCTTTGAGTCAGTGAATGGTTTCTTCTTTTTTCTTGAGGACCCATGCTACACAGAGTGAGGCTGAAAGAGCTTTCTCTTGCTCGAAACATGATCTGACCATGATAGCTTGTTAGGCTTTGCACTTTATGTCAGTGAGTAACAGAGTCTGGAGGAAATTGTGTGTTGAAGTTTGAGTGCTTGGACTTGAAGTGCCTTCTCAGATTGTACTCCTGTATCACAGTACAACGCTTGTTACATGGCAAACTAGAAACACAATTTAGAAAACAATTTTTTCTTTACTTAACTATCTGTTTCTGACAGTAAGCTTCTTTTGACTTGGATTAAACAATCGATAAATATAATTCACAATTTTTTTATATATTTTTTGAAGTGCTAATGTTTTGGTGGAATGCACTTTCAATGGATAGACAGAAATCTTACAGGTTTCATTAAAAATACCTTAATTTCTGTTTCGAAGATGAATGAAAGTCATTCAGCCTGGATTTGGGCTGACACGAGGATGCATAATCGATGGCAGAATTTATATTTTTGGGGTGAAATATTCCTAAAATTAAGTATTTCTGTAGGTAAAAATGAAGAATCTTGCAACTCAGAAACCTCAAAAATCTCAGCACCTCTGTTACACAGTTGAGTTAATTTAAAAATCATTATCCTTAGAGGATTGACGCTGGCCACTAGTTGACTGCTCCCACATTTTAAATATCTGGCATTTTCATCACTTTTGGTGCATTTTGTCCCCCTAGCTTTGGTTCATTTCTGCCCTAATGGGCATAACTTCTGCATTAATCACAGTTACTATAGTGCTGTTATGACATTTAGAGGGGCTACAGGTAAATGGGAAATTACACCGTTTAAGTTGTGCATTGCTTCTCAGCTGTGGTAATGTCACAATCAAGTCATTTGTATTCATGCAGCTTCATCTGACGGGGTTTTCATCAGCACAGAGGTCTGAAATGAAATAGGTGTCACTTCCATGGAGCATGACCAAGGGTGACATCATAGGAAATTACCAGCGTTTTGCCAGACGATTACACACGAAGATACCAAATTTCTTTTAATTACCATCTTCCACCTCTTTCTCTGCTCTTCTCATCTCCCTTATAATCAGCATTGTTTTCTTTGTGTTGCAGGGTAATGCTTAGTTTCAGAAATGCCATACGTAGATCGTCAGAATCGCATCTGTGGCTTTCTAGACATAGAGGAAATGGAGAGCAGCGGCAAGTTTTTACGACGCTACTTCATTCTGGACACCCTGGAGGGCAGCCTGGTGTGGTACATGGATAACCCTCAGGTATCTACCCATCTTCATCTCTTTCACCCTGTCAGTACATCGCAAAATGCAGCAGCTCTTAATTTTACATCTGAAGGCCTTTGTTTTACCACTTCTGTGGAAGTCAATACATGTCAAAAAATGTTATCAAATATGGCAGCATGGTGTTCCCCAGGGGATAGTCATTGACCCTTTTAAGTTTCACATACTAAATAGGTTATGGATAAGTTTTGAAATCAAACCAAAATTCTCTTGATGCTTTTTAAAAAATATTGGAATAGTATGATTGCTGTAATAGTCAGTTTGTGTGCATTCTTCTGCCTATGTGGACAGAAACATAATTGGTGTCACCAACCACAACACCATGACTTAAACCACTGCACGAAACTTACAGTAACTAATGTAGTCCAGTTCCCAAATGAATGATTCCTTTCATGTTAGTGAATCAAAACACTGAATAGTATTATTAAATTAATCAGTAGTTGTTACTGAATTAGTCAGACTAACTTGCTGAACTACAAGTTATTACTTTCATTGTGTCTGATCTCGAAATACATGAAAAAAAAAAACATGAAAACTGAAATGATCATTTTTGGCAGTAGACTACTAAAAGGCAGAACATGCAATAAGAATGACTTTTTTCCAAATATGTCTTACTCAAAAGTACTAAAAAATTAATTAATTGGACCATAAAGGAACTAGAAGCATTAAGAGGAATCTTGCAATAGAACCAGAGTAAAGTTCTTATGATTTTTATCCCTAGTTACTGAAAACACATGGGTAGATATACTGCATACCATAGTTCTGCAGTAAGACGATGCAGTGTCTCAGTGGTTTTGGGGCAGTAACTGTAGAGAACTACACCTTCAGTGCTGTCAGAAACAGGAAAACTGTAAGCCACAGTTGACCTTTTTCTGCTATCAGTTAGAATCTTGATATGCAAAACATTGTGTGATACTAACATTTCCTCTCCTACACACCTTGTTATTATTGTAGCTTTAAAAAGCATCAGTTTGTGAACTTTCTGCATAGATATTGGCCTTTTTTACTCTGAAACTTTGCTAATAGTGCCTGTAGAGAAATTTCACCTCCCATGTGCTTGTGGGTAAAGGATATGAGTGCCATGGCCTCTGTTGGACTTTATAATCTCATAAAGTATTGGAGGGCATTGATGTGTCTTTGCCTCCAGACCACTTTAACCATTCAGATTTATGGTGTTTGTATGTGTGTAAATGTATTTGCATCTGTGTGGGTCACACTTTGCTTTACTGTGCAGCTTTATAAGGGTGTCTTTGTCTGAGACTCCAGACTAGCAAACTAACTGTTCATAACTGTGTTGAGTGTACATGCAAGGAATCTACACAGATGGTAATTACGAAGAGTTTAATGAAAAAAATACTTAATTAGCACATAGAAAAATCTAGTAAAAATAAATGTTAATATAGTAATGATTTTTTTTTCTTGGTATGTCTCATTGTAAATTATACTGATACTTTCAGTGTCTTAAACTCATTTAGATTGGAGTAAAAGACTAAATCTCAGGCGAAACCTGACTAGAACTGAGATCACTGATGAAGAGCCTATGTCAGGACCTGTCTTTTTTGATTCTTCATGTTCTTTCTTTGTTTCTTTTAATGGATTCTCTCTATTTTCTTGGCTGCTGCAGGTTCTGTACCAATCACTTTATCTAAGACTCAGTCGGTAGCCCCAGCCAGCATCTTTTATTGATGCCATGTCTGACTTTAAATAATTTACCTCACTGCATCTGTAGATGTGTGCTAAAACTTTCATAGACCCCTGTGCAATTCTACAACTTTGGAGAATACCGTACGCTCACCATACATTTATTCTGTCCACGTTTGTTTTCAGACACTGCTCAAAACACACACACAAACACACTTCTCACATCAAATCAGCGTGTATCATTTTATATTCTGAATTTCAGCTCTATTGATTTGAATCTTCTCCTTCTACAGAATCTTCCAGAAGGAACATCCTATGTCGGCTCCCTCAAACTAACATATATATCCAAGGTTTGTAATTACCAGTTATTACCAGCTTTATATTCCCAGACTTGAATGATACATTTTAAATTGTGTGGCTTGTTTTAAAGTGTGCCATGACTTTTCTTTGCATTTAGATTCACCATTCTCTTGTAATGGCTGGCCATGTGATCCAAACTCTTATGTTTAATAATTTAATATAACAGCTTTTCTTGTATATACTGTGTATAAAACAAATCGTTCAATTTCTTCAGGAAATTCAGACAATAAATGCCGTTTTGCCGCTCTTTGATGCGGCAAGACATTTCGCCATAGCCAATACTTAAGGTCTTTGCACACTGAGTCCAAAATTTTTGTATGCGTTTTTTCGTATTCGTCATCCTTTCTTAACAAAATTATTGTTACGGATGCGAAAACGCATATGATGGACGAAAGTTTTGGAGGCAGTGTGTAAACGTGATTGACACAAGGTGAGGTCGTATTTATTTTTTAACGTGCGAAAATTTCGGATAAGAATTTCTGACTCGGTGTGCAATGACCTTAATGCCTCAGTTCTAACGGCAGTGCGGCGCGCGAGTGAGCGTGATCACACCTTCCTCTTTATTACTAGCTTTAACGCGAAATATACATGAATGAACAACCCCTCACATAATCGCTCAACTAATGTTTCAACCGCAGAAAGACGTCATTAAAATAGCTTGTAAACAAAATGCCATGTAGCGTTTCATTTACCTAGGCAAGTCATCAGTGTCTACAGCTCGTTATTTGCTAGCGAAATGAAGTCTAGAGAAGTGCATTTTGTGAAATATTAGACTATGCCTATACTGCTGTGCAAAGGCAAAAGACCGTAACTTTAATTTTGGTCGAAAATTAGTTATTCAGATTTTTAGGACATTCAAGACATCCTTTATCATGTGGATAAGTATCTTGAGTCAATTTCGTTGTTTTTCCAAGAAAATAATGTGTTGTCTTAACCGTAATAATTCATTATATTTACTTTACCTGTTAGTAATGTCTTAATTATTTAATGTATATGTTTAAATAAATATTTTTTAAACAAGTTATGACTCTGTAAATAATTATATTTCAACAACAAATAGAAATAGTGTAATGTTAATAGTTAATTTAAAAAATTTACATGTTTGCATACATTTCTTTTAATTTGAGTGTTGATTAGTATAGTTTAAAATAAATAGTAATTGAATTTAAGTTTGGGCTCTGTTGCTAATTGTAACCTTATAGTAATGTAAAAGGGCTCCCTATTGTTGTTCAATTTAAAACCATTGTTAAATAAAAAAAAAAGAAAGAAAGAAAAGCAATTTATGTTTAGTTTTTTTCCTTCCTGCTGTACCAAAACCATACCGAACCGTGACGTCAAAACTGAGGTACGTACGGAACCTTCATGTTTGTGTACCATTACACCCCTAATATATATAGTGGAAAATGTTTTAGTGCACCTTTAAATATGCATATGTGTGCAATATTATTGATCTGGTCATATTTTGTCATTAAAGGTTAGCGATGCCACCAAATTGCGGCCAAAGGCGGAGTTCTGCTTTGGTAAGCAATTGATTTACTTTCTCCGTGTCACTCAGAGGACGCAGTACACATAAGGTAGGGCATGTTAGACCATGACCCCTGACCTTGGCTATTGTTTCTGAGATCAGAGCCAGAGACAATCACACACTGTGGGTTCTGGGACTTTACCCGGTGGAGTTAGACGAGAGGCCACTGTCAGGAGTGTACGTGAGCAACATAACACAGATACTAAAATTAGTCACACATTGAGTCTGCTACTCTAAAGTGTTTAATAAAGTAGTGGTGTGACCCTCCTGGAGTGATTCAGGTCCAGTGAACACTGTTTGCTATTTGATTCTTTAATGTTAGCTGTTCACTAAAAGCATGTTCTGTAACTTACGATGGAAAGTTCATAAGTTCATTGAAGTTCAAGTTCACTGAATCTTGATATCAAGGCTGATTTAATACGGTTTGTTGGAAACACAGACAGTAAGTTTCACGTGTGTTAAGTTGACCACATGAACACAGTAACTATAGTAGCTGCTTCTTTAACCAGCCCTGCAAAAGGGACGTGAGAGTTTTCACTTTTTAGACTTGCCCAGAAAAAGATTTCAGTGGAGTTTAGGTGTTGTTTTTGTGACTTGTGAAGATAACATTTCATGTTTAGCTTCGGTTAATTAACAGTGACATATTTAGAAATGAGAAGTACAATCTTTCTGCGTATGTCAGACCCTCTTGTCAGGAAAGTGACTGTGCATACACACACACACACACACACACATTTGACGGAATCATTCTTCATTAATAGCGGTTCAATTGCACATTTGCATTTATCCGCAATGAACCATATCGGAGTTCACATGACCACCTTTTCAAGTAGACTCTGGTATGGTTTGCTGGTATGTGTTATTTTAGTATTACTGAGATACTATTATAGATTGTTATTTTTTATATAGATTTTATAGTTTTAATAATTTTGTGTTGTTTGTTTATTTGTTTGTTTGTTTTTAATGTCCATGTAATTTTTATTTCAATTTAACTTTATAATTTTAGTACATCAAGTTGAAAATGAGAAATGTGGTCTTGGCAAATAGCTTAAATAAAATGTTTTATTTTATTTTATTTCAGTTCATGTTTATTTTATTTAAGTAATGAAATGGTTTTTATGGTTTTAGTTTTACTTTTATTTTACTATAATAGCCCTATTGGGAGAGTTTGTAAAACCATGTTCATATCATCCAACCAAACTTCCACATCAAAGAAACCTGGATGCGCACCAGAAGTGGTAGTGTGAAAGCACCCTTCTTCAGGCCTAGAAAGCACACACTTAGACAGGAAGAGACTGTCTGACCTACATGTAATCTATGTTGCCAAATTCATAAATAATGCCACAAAAATGTGATTATATCATCATCTCCAAATTGTTTAAATAGAAATCTTTGTGTCTTCCCACAGTCATCAACGCTGGAATGAGGAAGTTTTACTTGCAGGCGAATGATAAGCAGGATTTAGTGGAGTGGGTCAGTGCGCTCAACAACGCCACCAAAATCACAGTAAGTCCCTGACCCTGGATTAGATTCCTCTTACTAACCGGAGAACAGTTCAGATGGTTCTCCAAATTGCAGATTTGGAAACCTGGATCCTGTAGGTGTCCAGACATAATTAGCCTACATTAAACACAATTTTCTCTACTAAAATTGAATAAGAAAATAATCCATCTATTCTTCAAAACACTTGTCCTATTTAGGACCCTGGGTATGCTGAAGTCTATCTAAGCATCTCGGGCCATAGACTAAGATAATTAGCTGAGATGAGTCAACAGTAAAAATAAAGCGAGAGAAATGTTATATTAATTTTTAAATGAATTTATTTTATTTAATTCATGAATTGCTTGTGTTGGCCAATAATCCATATAAAATAGAAAAAATAATTACTTTTTTTTTTTGCAATTTATTAAAAGTTAAAATACACATACAGACATACATAAACATATATATATATATATATACAGTGGGGAAAATAATTATTTGATCCCCTGCTGATTTTGTAAGTTTGACCACTTACAAAGAAATGAAGGGTCTATAATTTTTATGGTAGGTTTATTTTAACAGATAGAGAGAATATCAAGCAAAAAATCCAGAAAAAAA